AAAATAGATTTGAGATAATCCTAAGAATATTTTATATCAAAATTATATACCATGATAAAATTTGAAGGCGCACCTTACCTCTACAGCTAAGGATGCATCTGAATGCCAACTGCACCCAAAGATAAATGGTCTCTTTGTAGACAATCCCTTATGTTAAATACTAGGGCAGCAGTTGAGGTCCTATTCTCTTTACAATCAAGATAATAGGGCTGGGGTGCATGAATACACATGAGCTTATTAACAGTGATTGAAAACCCAAAATTACAAACTGATTTAAATACACTTGATTCTAAATTTCGACAAATAGTATAATGTTATTTTTCAAATGGTAGTAGACCATGTGGCAATTGGGTTTATCATTAGTTTCTATCAGGGGGTATTTGATATTTCCATTTGAATTGTAGCTTCTTATCATGTGGGTGGAGCAATTTCATGGGTCAAAATGCCTATACCAGCACCAAACACAAGTTTTGAGATAAAAAGGGTTGTAAACCATAAAATCTGTGCAATGTAAGAAGTGTACCTTCCTATAGGAGGTGGTAGAATCATCGGATTCGACATGGGAAGGGTGACTGTGGTCGGATCTGTGCGTAAACTATGATAAATGTGAGCTTAACAATAAAAGGGAAGAGGGTGATGTAACTCAAAATTCATTAGTTGCTTGTAAGAGTGATCGCTGGCTGCTTAGCAGTTGAGGCTTTAAGTGCCCCCTTGGAAGGGCCAGAGCTCATTGTTTTAGTCACATAAGCTTGCACTATCTCTATGGCCATGAATACGGCAAGAGCTGGAGTGGAGGTTGTGCTCTCTACAGTGGTCTCAGGCGCAGGGTTTGCATGAACAATGAGTTAGTGTCAAGAAAAGGTGGAAGGGACTGAGGATTAATGAACTACTATATCCTCACAATTAGCAGGTAACATTGTTGTCATAACCTCATGAATAATAGATTCGCCTGACCTTTCTTCATAAGTGGGTACTGTGCTACGAGAAGGGGTTGAAGTGCCGGTGTCATCGGCCATATCATTATCATCTCTTCTCTTGTCATGTTCGTATCAACTGCAGGAGTTGGTAGTTCATCGCTTGCTGAAATACCAGGCTCCTCACTCTGTTGAACTTGAAATGGCGATGGTGGTATTTCTTTCTCCAGGACACTAATATCTCGGAGAGTGTCGATACTATCGATGGGTCTCAAATTCTGAATGATCTGATTCTTTTCCCAGGACTACAGGAAGCATCAAAGCTACCGATAGTATTGACACTCATCATAATTATCAAGGCTCTGTTAACCTGAGGGTAAAAATTTGCCAACGGTATGGGAATATAAGGTTAAGAAGTTAGTTGATAGGATTGGAAAGTTCAAAGGCTTGTCAAATAACCCCAAGTGACATACAACTATTTTTGAAACATGTACAGCAAAATGTCTGGTTTACGATTCTCCAAGTGACATATAAGTATTTTTAAAACATATACAGCAAAATGTCTTGTTTAGGATTCAAGGAAGCTTACCAAGCCAAGTAACTCAAGACATAGCCCTTTCATCCTTTTGGGCTCGCTCTTTTAAACGACCTAATGATACATGGGGATTTTCTTGTAGATAATTATGTACCATTATTGATGAAAAAGGAGTCCGGGAAATTAGATCTGGCATTCTTTCGATCTTAAACAAGCAAAAATAAATAAATAAAATAAATAAACGTCTCATATGCGATTTGCATCACCATTTGCATCTATCCTCCTCCAACCAAGACCTGTAGAGTAGGTGTTGCTTTAACACCTTCCTCCCCATTTCTGCAAAACTCATATGCTGACATGTTCCCTTTGAAGCTCGCCTGCATAAAGAGGTCCCCCCTTCATCTTATCAATGGGCCTGTAGGGAACAAATGTTGTGGCATCTTGAGTAAGCCCGAATTGCATTCAAACGTGTTCAAGGTGATAAGCTTGCTAAGAATATTCAAATATAAGATCGATTTGGGCACACCAATTCACACATGTGGTCTTCACTAGATCATCATCTTCCTCATCGGCATAAGGATACCAAATAAACTGAAAACAGAAAAAAAAATATATCCAAGTCAAAGAAACTAAGCGCATCATTCAAGATGAATGAATTAATAAATAAATAGAGAAACACAAGTCACACTACATTTACAGATAGGATGCAATTTGAAATCGCGCCTTGCTACACCCTGTGGCCTGTCATTAAGGCGCTATGTCAATCTGCGCCCTTCTGTCTTGTGCATGGGGTGCTGTTTCAAGTTGCGCCCTAATGTGACTTGCTCTCTGCAATCAAGGTGCTACTTGCTTTTAACCTGCGATTGAGTTGCTACTCAAAGTTGCACCCTGTGAGATGTGACTGAGGTGCTACTAAAAGTTGCGCCCTCTCTAAGATTGAGTTACTATTCTTAGTCGCACCCTCCGAGAATCGATTGCATCCATTTTCATGTGCTTCCATCATGTAACTGACCCTGAACCTTATGATGTTTATCCAACCAAAATGAGGATCTCCAGAGTTCTGGTCCAAGGCGTATTTGTCTCGATGCTGGTCTACCACTTTCGTATTTTCGGAAGTTTTTTGACATATATGATACCGAATACCTGTAGAGGTTGGCAGCCTAGTGTATTTACAATTTGTGGGTCGTCTTTGACCCGACACTAACATCCACCCTACTTTTCAAGACTTTTGGGGGTATGATGGGCCTGGATACCCTTCCTCCGATTTTAAATGGGCCATTCAGTATGGATATACTTTTATATGATCCAGTGATATTGTGATGTAAAAATACTTGTTAACACATAAAATATAAAGCTTTTGAAAAGGTTCAAGAAAACAACCTTGATAAGAAAATCGTAATTCTAATAAGTGTTAGAGGTTAAGAATATTTTTATAAAGTGGAAAACATTTCTGTAGGGCAAATTATTTTGAGGCAAATGTTCATTTTCTGTAGTGTAAGAGCCGAGTTTTAATTACTCGGCTAAGGCTCAACACTAGGGCACTGCCCGAGCTGAGTAACTCGAGTGGACTCATCTGAGTAGTGTATCAGCCCCAAAAAGGACTAAAACTAACAAAATAAAAAATTTGTTCAAAGCAAAAAAATGGTAAAAAGAAACAAAACGGTGTACAACATTAGAGCTCCAAATAAGCTAGAAAAACTTTATCAAAGATGGAGTTTGGAAAGACTTACTTTATAACTGGAAATAGTTCAGAAAGACTCAAAAAAAGGCAAAAATGAAAACATAGCACATGATAAGAAAGACACACGAATCATCATAAAAGCATCAAAGTTATATAATATTTATACATCGATTTAATGAAACAATATATTTTTTATATTTTTTTTTATAAAATTTCATATCATTAAGTTTGTAGCTAAGAACAAAGCTTAGAAAATAGCGAGTCCACATCAACTAGGCCGAGTTTTAGAACTTCGATTTGAGCTCTAGGTGAGCTAGCGCAGTAGGAATCATGGGATTAAACTCAGCTAATCGCTTTTGCCCCACCTACTCTGATACACCTATTGCAGTTGTCATTAATTGATGCAATTCGTCCATATAATTTGGGAAAGGAATCACTACGTTGATTCAGTGGAATAGGGACTTTCAGTTGGTTTTGGGGTATTGTGAGATCAGTGAGTATAGGTGGCCCAATGAGTTAACAATCAGGAGAGGTTATCAGGGCGTCGGAGTTGAAACAAAAGACTCGGGCCAGGATCTGCTGTACTTCCTATTGGACTTTAATGGCATTTTTCTTGCTCCTTCTCCCTTCTCTTCCTTATTGCTCCGGCCAGTCCTCCCCTTACTGGTGCCACATCTAAACTCTCTTGAATGTATTCATTTTGAATTCTATCCTTTATTGTCTTGCCACTCATCTATCTCAACATCTTCATCTCAATCTTATCCTATGGAGCATTCTACTTCATAAAGCAAAGCTTATATTGTAGTTGTCCCGTAGAACTTGCCTTCCAGTTTCATCGGTATACAGTGATCATATCTTCATTTCACCCACCTAGCTTTACTTCCATGTGCGACATCCATTATTAGAAAAACAAGGCGATCTCACTGATAACTACCCGGTTAGATCGGAACCGGTCCGGTTTCGGTGATCAACCGACATTTAAAAATACTCCAAAAATATTTATAGATTCCCAAAAATAAGGAATTTGGTTTGTAATGTTCTTTACATTATGGAAAAGATTAAAAAAAATTTTCATCATTAATACTCACTTTAATTAAAAAATCGATTATTTAAAATCTATTTTTTTCATTAAATTTTAAACTTAATTTAAATGTGTTTTTTTTAATCATTATTTATATGCTTTTCATATTTTAGTAGATTTCTTTTTGTATTTTTTATTTTATTTTTTAACACTGTTTTGACTGCTAAAGACTTGCTCAGTTAGAATAGTTGAATCGGCCGATTTACCAATTAGGCCAATTAAACTGCTTCTAGGGTCAAGTCCGGTTAACCATTCAAGTTCGATTTTACGAATACTGGCGACATCTTTCTCAATCTCTCAATTTTCCTATATTGACCCAAGATATCGAAAATGAGCTTTTTTAAAAAAAAAATTTTGGCCATCAAATTTAACTACATTTTCATTTTTATTATTACTAAATTTGTATTTCATATACTTTATCTTGATTATTACTTAATTTATATTCCATATTATATGTCTGACATAATATATAATATAATATATATATATATATATATATATTTGTAAAATACAACTATAGCCGTAGCCAGCCAAAACGCGGATCGCACGTGCCGCGATGCTGAGGTAAGTATCTGGAGCGTTTCCGAGCACTCGCAGAGCAATTTACAGAGGGATTGAATTTGTGTCATTGAGATTCTCTCGCTCTTGGGCTAGCTGAAAGCCGTTTTCCCCAACGAAGTGTAGAGATAGAAAGATAGAGCGAGGGAGAGGGGAGAGCAAAGCACAGAAATGGAGGAGGAATTGAAAGCCCTGTTGCAAGAGATCAAAGCCCTGGACCACCTGTCACAAGGTCCCAAGTGTCAGGATGCCATAGCCAATGTATTCCACTCTCTCTTTCTTACTTCTTATTCTTTAGAAATTTAGGTTTCGTATGCCTTGCTTTCATATCTCTGATCTTCATGTATCTTGTATTTCTTTTGTATTTCCTTTCTTTTCTTGTGAATATGCAGATCGTATGGCTCTTTGGGTTATTGACTTGAAATTGAGTAAATTAGTCGATATTTTTCTTTAAATGTTGAGTTTTTGTGATTTTAGGTCAAAGTTTAGAGCTTCATATGAGATCTTTTGCTTATGTTGAACTTAGGGGTTTTAGGTCAAATTAGAGAACTGTCTATCGGTGCATGTGTTTGTTTATTTTCATGTCTGAGAAATTGTAAATTTTCATTTTCTTTTTTTTTATATTCAGGAGCAATTGTTCAGATGTAACAATGCTGTTGGTCTTCTTTTGGATATTGCAAATATGCTGTATGTTTAGAGAGAGTGAGAGAGAGAGGTTATGAATAGAAATACCAATTCCCATTTTAGAACCATGCCTACATCATCAATTACTTTTGAAAGCAACCAAGGATACATTAATGCTAAACTATGAGTAACTCTTGGGGAAATTGTGTATGACATGTGCATCACAAAATCTGAATTAAAGGGAAATTAGGAGCTTTGTGGATAGGTTGATCATGATATGTATTATTTTAAGTAAAAGTATTGATTGATCAATCGTCATATAACATAAGCCATGTTGCAATAACATTTATATTCAGTAACTTATTGATACTTTGGGACATGATAATTTACAACTGATTCTGATCAGTAGCTTGGGGTGAAAGCTTTCACACTGTTATCAAAATTAGAACTGCTTTAAGCTCCATAAGCCTTGGAGTTTACTACTCCTTATATTTTAAGCAATTTGAATTGAGTCATCAGAAAAGTGGATAGATTTCTGATTTCATGTGTAATCCATTTCGCGATGATTTCACTCTAGACATGAACCTGGCCTCTTAAATTATTTTGTATTTTTTGACAAAACTTTGGATTGTGGATTGTTAGGTTTTTGAATTTGAGTCATTCTTTAGGTATCGCCTTTCACTGACCAATGGCTTTAGCTTTACCAACTTTTTTTTCTCCTCTTTGATGATTTGTGCAGCTTCAAAAGCGTGCAGAGTCTGTCGCTAGTTATATAAACTGTGCAAAGATGGGACGTTCAAATATCAAGGTTTTTATACCAGGACACTGAAATCTTCTAGTTCATGTCTAGTGTGCTTCTATTTTTCAGTTGTTTTGTGCTTCTCGCTGACACATGGACATGCACTCATAGTTTTGTTTTTTCTTTAGTTTCATATATGCGCTAACATATGCACTTATAGTTTTCTTTTTTTTTGGTTAATTTCATATGTGCATCAATTAAAAAGAGCAGGATATGAGTTCTGAGGTGGTAGATACCAACCCTTACAGCAGACTGATGGCGCTTCAAAGGATGGGTATTGTGGACAATTATCAACGCATAAGAGATTATTCAATTGCTATTGTTGTGTGTATTTATCTCTCTCTTATCTTTATTGATGCTCTCTTTTTTGACAATTGCAATTAACATCTTTAATTATGTTATCTGAATTTTCTCTTTTATGGCAAGCTCTTTTGCTCCAATAAGATTGACCAGAATAAGATTCTTTGAAATGAAACTCATCATACGCAAATTCTTGTTGTCCACAGATTTTTTATTTTTATTTTTTTTAAGCATGGATCTTGCACTTTTGAAGGATTGGAATTGACTGTTGACATAGTTATTTGTCTGCATGGGCATGTGATTTTTTGAAGTATTGAATGCATTTTCCATTATTAACATGTAGAATAACTTCCGATAATTGTTTTTTTTAGCAATAATTTTTGTCTTCAGGAAACAATCTTTCTTGTGAGGATAAATACATTTTATGACATTTCATCTATCTTTTTAATAAACAAAAAAGATACGTAATTGAACTTTTCTAATTTAATGAATTAATCAAATAGTTCTTGATAAGTCATAACATGCCATATATTCTTAACTTGGTTGTGTCGGTAATGCTACAGGGAATTGGCGGCGTAGGTAGCGTTGCAGCAGAAATGCTGACAAGATGTGGCATAGGTCGATTGTTGTTGTATGACTATGACACTGTGGAGTTAGCTAATATGAACCGGCTGTTCTTTCGCCCAGAACAGGCACGCTACCTAGTTATTATCCATGGGATTGATTTTGGAATATTGATAATAATGCAAAATAATTTGCATGCTTGAGAACCTGTTAATTTTGACAGGATGAATGCAACTGGTGATCTTTTGAGTTATGAAAAAAAAAGGAAAATGTGAAATTCACTGCTTTCTTTTCTTCTTGTTTTACCCCTTTTACTTTTTTCTTTTGTACTCCTTGACCACAAACTAAATTGGTGTCTTAAAGATTTCAAAACCTATATTGAGGAGTAACTTTCTTTCTTTCTTTTGTCTTAGTCAAGTAGATGGATACATTACTTCCCTGAACAAGTGAGATGGTTACAGTGCCATACTAGACGGTTTTATATGTATTTTCAATTCACTTGCATGTGTATTTATGTAATGCACTTATATGAGAAATACTTTATTTGTTAATAGAACGATAAATAAATGAGGATCCATAGTGACAAAGAATTCTATGGAGAAGCTCATGGATTAAGAAGAATTTTCATACTGTTAGTGAATGGGACGTGGCTGCTACCTGGTTACATCTAAATTAGTCAACCCTAGGTACTCTAGATAGGGAATGAGAGGATACCCAAAACAACGGAATGGCATGCATTTGTATCCGGGATACTAGGAAATATCAGTAATCATCATCATTTTAGCCTTTTCCCAATTAATTGGGGTCGGCTACATGAATCCTGGTTCTCCATTCCACTATATTAAAGGCCATATCCTCAGTGAGACCATAAGCACCCATATATTTTCGGACTACTTCCAACCACCTTTTTTGGGCCTACCCCTTGCGCTTTTCAGTCCTTCCACTTGAACTAACTCACACCTCCCAACAAGTATTGTACTTGGTCGGCACCACATATGGCCAGCCCACCTAAGTCTACTCTCTATCATTTTATCGCCTGTTGGTGCCATGTCTAAATTCTCCCGAATGGATTTTTTGTTAATTCTATCCCTTCTTATCTTGCTACTCATCCATCTCAACATCCTCATCTCTGCTACACTCATTCTATGGGTAATGTTGGTTTTTGTCCGCCCAATATTCGACCCCATAGAGCATAGTTGGTCTCACCGCTGTCCTATAGAACTTGCCTTTCAGCCTCATTGGCATCCGGCGATCACATAAAATTTAGTTGCACATCTCCACTTTGCCCGCCCGACTCTAATTCTGTGTGCGACATCGTCCTCGATTTCTCCATTTTCATAGATTATCGACCCAAGATATCGAAAGTGCGGTCTTTTTTGTACATACTATGAGCATTAAATCTAACATAATTATATAACTTTAACTGCAAATCACTATATTTTCCTTATCTATTGTGCACCATTTCTTTGTTTGAGCTTAGCTATTTGCAACTTCTTAGCAAGGCTATAATTTAACTTATTGGGCAGTGGTGATGACCTTAGTTATAAGTAATATTTATTCTATTGTCGTGATGGTTGTCTAACAGAGGAATGGAGTTTAGGCATCGAGGTTGTCGATTTTCTGAACACCTATAAGCCCTGTGGCAGTTTTTGAGCTATGGGATAGATTGTTTGTGGAGGAAAGTATTATTGGAGAAACACATGGCTCAATGCATGCGTCAGATGGGAGACGGAAAGGAAAGGACGGGATAGTAATACGTTAGGGAGCTTGGGGAGTAATTTGTAGGAATATTAGATCAGAGGAATGTCTGTTCTATCTGTGGATGTCTTTTTTTTTTTGTCGATATATGGTTTGGGGGATCCATGAAATGGACTTTCCTACGGAATGTACAGTTTTTACTTTTTATATTTTTAGATTGTTGAGTATTACAATGTTGTTCATAATACCTTGTGGATGTGAGCTGTATGCCTCCCCTTAGAAGAGATCTAGTTGTGAGTGAATTTGAGGGACTGCATGATGTCCTTGTTGAGATATGTTCATACGATCTTTGTGTTACCTATCTTCTGCTATATATTATACTTGTTGTTGCCACTCAAAAAAAACAAGAAAAAAGAAAGAAAGAAAGAATATGCTTGTTGTTGCCACTTTAAATTAAAAAAAAAAAAAAAAAATGAAGAAGAAAAAAACTAAATGACAGTCATATGCTTTCCATTTTCTTGTACTTCATCTGTCCATTTGATTCTCATATCATGTGACATTCTCATCCATTTAAAGTTTTTATTTTCTTGCTTCTTTTTGGTCCTTCAAATGTTCTATGTGGGAGCCCAATTGAAAAAGGCATCTGCCTGTATCAAGGAAACTGAATTATTTTCATTCACTTCACAATTTCAGGTTGGCCTTACAAAAACAGATGCTGCTGTTCAGACTCTTTCGGATATTAACCCTGATGTTGTGCTTGAGGTAAACACCTAGGGCCTGTTTAGATCACAGTTAATTTTATCATGAATAATTTTTTTATTTAAAACTTATATATTCTTCATAACATTACTTTGTTACTTCTTTACTGGGTACTCTATATTCTGTATGAATATTATTTATTACTTGTTTGGTACCCTGATCCAAAACTTCACAAATCAAAAATCAGCCTCACCCTAAGCTTCAAAAGTCCATTATCTCCATTCCAAATCCTACTCACTCTAGTTCTCTTTCTCACTTTAAAACGACATTATCTTCATTTTCTCTCTTGCCCCTTTTCCTCCTTTCTCTCTCTAAAACGCCAGTAAAGTACCACAAATTTCTCCCACAAACTTCTCGCCCCTCTCTCTCTCTCTCTCTCTCTCTCTCTCTCTCTCTCTCTCTCTCTCTCTACTTCGTTACGTTACGTTACGTTACGTTACGTTACGTTACGTTACGTTACGTTACGTTACGTTACGTTAACGTTAGTTAACGTAAGTAAGT